ACTATAAACCATTTCAACCTTGCCTTGATTGTAAAAATGTAATTTGGATTGGTTGTGTCATTAGTAAATCTTAAATTCTGATTGGGATTTTTCTTATTGACGACGTGTAGTGACCATGTTTAAGAGGTTTAGCATGTGGTCTGGTTTGTATCTTTATATATTCCATCCATCCCCCCGTTTTAGTCTAATATTTGTTTAACCTCATGAGGAACAGCAGAGACTAAACCTGCAAAGCTAAAGATAAACCGAACAAACGTATGAAGCTGGAAGACAAAGGAATCCGGATCTGGAGGAAAACCCCGGGGACGGACTGAGAACGAGGAGCTGACAAAGCAGGAGAGAAAAAGCCGAGTATTGATGATATTGATCGCTGGCTCCGCCGATCGGAGTCCACTCAGAGAGACTAAACGAGTTCTGAGAAACAAACAGAGACTCTACAGAGCTGAAACTAAGGCTGACCCCCATCACCAGGAAGTCCTGCTCAGTTACAGCCCATTCAAAGACACCCGGTTACATCATTTAGCATTTATTTATCATATATAGTAGCTTTGGAAGCTTTAGATTCATTAATTAACCAAGTTTCAGAGGGATTTATAAGACATAAAAGACAAGAAAGTGAGAAGACTTGAACTCAGGACTCAAAGGCAAAAGCACAAAATAGCCAAAACTCCAAGAAAACTCAACAAGAAAAACCCCAAATCCCCCCAAAAAAGACACTCATTTAAACCTTTTAGAGGAAATAAAAGCCTAAATCCAGTCTCTGAGTTATTATAGGGGCCGTTTGGGGGAACAGAAACAGAAACAAATGCACATTTTTACCATTTGGGATCAAAATATTCCCGTCAGATCGTTTTCTAAGAGCCAGTTTAGCATGGCAGCGACTTCCCCACCCATCAAACTACCACCTCTCTGTTGCCAACGGCAACCAGAGGGTTTGTTTCCTCTCCATCTGAATTCAAATTAGGGACAGAAGTATTAATGTGGGGGGAAAAATCCACTAAAGGGACAGAAAAGATGAAGATTAAGAAGCTGAAAGGCTTCAACTTGAATCCAAGAACATCAGCAACAAAAATAGAAAAACACAACTCCATTTTTTGTGAATATGAGGTGGTAAAACCTCTGAGAGTGAAGAGACGAAGGCCTGAATCTGAATGTCTGAGAAGCCCGTTTTGAGGCTCTGAAGGACCTGAGGACAATCTCCTGAAAAGCCACTTTCCACCCACACGGCCATCGGCGTTATCATGGAAACCGGCGCTCCACACGGGGAGCCTGGAGCCTGGAGCCTGGAGCCTGGAGCCTGGAGCCTGGAGC